GACCCACAACAACCATGCTCAAAACGGCCTGATTCGGGTTCTCTGACCTCAGAAACGTCCAGAAAACATGTTTTTGAGATGTCGTAAATTTTGACCCATTACAATACTTTCCCCTTTCACACTATGTGTGTGCGGAAAAGTAATACTTTAAGTAATAGACGTGTGTAATTATATCGCTATTTGTACTAATTCAGGAATAAATTCTGATGTCGACGTGTCAAATGAGGGCGTTTTATTTAATTATTTTGAAATGAACTTGGAATGAAAAGGAATTCTTCAGTTTTGAATGAAACTAATTTGATACGATTTTGTTTGCAGAATCGACATGAGACATTGTTTGTAGCTTTATAAAAAAAAATCCAAAAAAGTCAAAAATTTCACATATTTTCCAAATCAAATTCGTAGAGAAAGCCAGCAATAATGCCAGTTGATATATTTTTTGAGAGAAGTCTAGAAAGAAATACCATATGTGTAAGAGGGATATTCCTTGCCAAAAAAGATGATTACATGATAATGACATTTCTCAATCGATTGAAATCTCGAAATAATGAATTTTTTGGTACCAAGCGATTCCAATGTCGACGGGTGCAGCACAGAAAGAAAAAATGTGGTATTTTTATTTTTTCCAACTTTGGTAGATTAAATATAAAATCAACCAACAACGAATTAAATTGGCATATTTTGAAACTAGTAAAACTTATGTAATGAAGCAATTGGTAAAACTTATTCAACTAATAGTCTCTTTTGAAAAATATGCCTCAGAGATGTCAAAAATGGTAAATTTAATTCGTTGTTGGTTGTTTTTTTATTAAATCTACCAAAAATAGAAACATCCATGGAATAAAAAAATACGAAAGCGAACATGTTAATGATGCCAGAAGTGGTTTGTCTATGCTTGCTTAATATTAATCGTATCAATTTTAATTATAATGAGGTATTTTCAAACACTCTTAGATTATTATACATTGTTTCGTATCAAAATGAAGAGAAAAGAGTCAAATTCCTCGGAAGCATCGCGATTTCCGATGTATTCCAAACCAATGGCGATCACCTTTTCATAATTGTAAAGTTTGCAGGCGTTCTTCAAGACGATTTTCCTCTTGAATGCCTGAATGGAATTTTTCAATATCCTCCCAATATGATTCAGAAACTCTGTTCCGAAAGTTATCCTCTATAACTGAAAAGGAAATTCAAAAATTATGATTTTTTCCATGCACTGCGTGCGGTTAATTTTAAATACATACAACTATGAAGAATAAATATCCAGAACAGAAAGACATATGTATGGTACGAATTATGTTTCATTTTTTCGGTAGATTCTTCATTGTCTTCGGGTTCTTTTACGAAAATTCCCGAAAAGCACAAGAGAAGAAGTACGTAAAACGCCAAAAAACGAAAAACTCTTTTAGTGATCTTTTTCCATTTGGAGTCGACTGCCGTTTCACGATCCATCGTTTTAGACATGAATCCCAAAGAAAATGCTGTAAGAATTCAAATTTTTATTTCTAAATTTTATATCAGTAAGCAAATATGACTATAAAGAATCGGATCAAATGTATTCAAGTATTTCAACAGCAGGTGGTGAAGGAAATTTAATAAGTAAATGGTATTTTTCCACTTGATAACTCTTGAAATATACTCTTTGATCCCACGAAAATGAACAAATTCTTTGTTACCTGTCATAATTACCACGCTACCATTCACCAAGTGAATATCTCTATTGAATGGGATTGAATTCCACATTAATTTCACAAGTAAATAACTCAAATTGACAACATATAAGACCCAGCAAATCCATTTAAACGAAAATCTCATTGCTATACTGGGATGCCACGAAATTTCCTCTCTCTGTAAATAATCATGATTGATTCAATTATTTATTTTGGCCGAGACTCGCTAATAGTGACGTGAGTGCGATTTTTGTTTATTAAAAAAAGTGCAGAATATTTTATGGCATCATTTAAATAACACAGATGCAAATGTAATTGGGGACTTTTATGCTTCTTTAGGACTTTCTTTGGCAATGAAACATTACATTGTGGTTAAATGTAAGACATTACGTTTATTTTTATATATTTCGGCGCCGCATTACATTAGCGAGTATTGATTTCACACCATTGCTGCAAAGACACTTAGTTATTAGCGCCATCTAGTTCGTGCGAGAAAAAATCTTCACATTTCACACACGTACTATTGAGTTACTTTACTATGCAATACAGTGAGGGCACCAGTGATACGTGTTTTGCAGCAACCCAGTGATTGATTTTGAATAGAATTTGATATTTGACTTACCTCATATATTGCATGACCAATAATCCAAGTTCCATTAAATAAATTCATAACCAGGAAAAGCATAGAGTAAACAAAAAATATTGCGCTCAAAAACACATTCAATTCTCCATAGTAGGTGGGACACGATAAGAGCATAACAAAATTTAGGACAACAGATGTTAAGTACAGTAAAAGAAGAATACTATGAGCGAGGACACTGTCTCCAATTTTTACAAACATAAAAGTAGAGAGAAGAGCACAAGCTGTGAACAACGAAGAATAGAAAAGATTTTCTGTTAATATAAAACAAAATAGTTTTATGGTTTGCGGTTGTATGTTACTTGTGGAAAATCTGCATACGGCCCATAATATTCCAAGCGGAGTACGAAAAATGTCACATGTTTGCTGTAAAGATAAATCAAATAAACAGGTTTTAATAAAAAGCACAATTTGTTTTTATCACATTCAAATCACCCAAAGATCATAATAACTAAGTGAAAAAATAGTACACAAAACGAAAAGCATCAACACTTTTTCAAATAATTTTTTATTCATTTTTCAAAAGAATAAAAATTACTTTTACTGTTTCAAGAAAAGAACGCGTTTGACATTCTCTTTTTCCTAATTCACTTGTCAAAAAAAACAGCTGTGATGATGTCGATTGAATTGGTGTGGGGGGAGTCCAACCACTGCGCGCGCATCATGGCGATAGATGTGATAGTTTTATAGCGGAGTATTATAGAGCGCATACTAATACAAACAGCGTTATTCATAACACATTCATAGCATCTCCTAGCAAGCGCGCTCTTCTTGAGTGACAAATTCATGCTCTGCTACTTTTCAAAAATAAAAATATTTTTTTACAACATTTTTTTATAAAGTATTCGAAACAAGTGACATAGTTAGAAAGTTATCAATTTTTTTAAAAAATCAATCGATCCACCACAGTTAAGAACGCGCTCTGTAACACCTTGATGGTACAAGATTCCAATCATAAATGGATATTCTTCAATTTGACTAACCAAACCGCCCGAAATAATTTGAGCATCAACTGTTGGACAAATATTTTGAACAAAAAATGATATCGTTTTTAAATGTATAAAATAATTTCATTAGAAATGAAAACCACAGTTACCTTTTCCATTGAAATGCTGTGAAGAAGATCAATTATTTTATTATTATAAAATTTATATGACATAGAAACATATTTTGGGCCAGTCACTTTTGTGATTTTTTATTATTTTCCCGCAATTCTTCTAAATTCTACACAAAATGCATCTAAATTACTTACGGAATATTCAGTCAGACAGAAAAACACAACAAAAAACTTGGAAAATAAATTCATTTTTTTAAGGTCTACCATACGTGTGTCTTAATTGCGACAAACCTATTAAGCTGATATAAAGTCACAGACCCTGCAATTTTATACCGTTTGATTTTAATAAGAACACAAACGTTTAATAAATAAATTATATAAATACCACATTTTTGGGGTATCAAAGACGTATTTGTATATGAACAAGTGAAAATTGCTATGGATGAAATTCAAACAGAACCGCCAATGACTTTTTGTATTATACTTTAAGCGCAGACACATTGCTATAAGATTATTTGGCTTATAATTGGTTCAAATCCCTTCGAACTGTTTTTTTTTTTTTCATCAGGTTGACGTGATCACCATTGTGTAAATAATTTTGATCGGTAATTAAGAAATAATTTTTCAATATCATTAGTAATGAATTTTAATTGAATTTTAAAGTCATTATCTAGGCCTATATGACAAGAAATTAATTTGCAGAACTTTATCACATTTTTCGCAGTCACAAATAATTTTTTTTCTCAAAATATTCTCATTGTTCTTTCTGCAACACAAGTTTTCGTTGGTCTTTGAAGTAAACATGATTTTTCAAAACTTTGAATGTCGAATCGACATTTTCGATCATTTTGAATGAATCAACATTGATTGGTATTTGCGCAAAGCGAAAGGAGATAGAGAGTCGTAAAAAAGGGATGCACATACAAGTTTCATTAACTTTATTTGATTTCGATAATTGGTACAATTTGATTTCCGTTCATCAATGATCAATTGACGGCGGAATTCTCTAATATTTGTCACACAAATTAACCAATTGGCATCGAATTCGTTCTTTAAAAAATGCTCTTTTATTTTAATGTTTACATTTTGATTCTCGATATGTCAATCAACTGATCATAAGCACAGCCAAGAGTCCACGAGATCACATGGCCATTTATATTTTGATGAAACTGTGAAAAAAACAGAAGTTAAAACAATCACCACCTTACACACGATTCATCAACATTTTACTTGGATTTTTGTGTCCAAATCAAGCCCATATCCATCGTGCAGCAAGACATAAATGTATGTTAAATCAAGGCACAAAAATGAATTTTTAGCGTCTACCGTACTGCATGCCTTCTTTGTGTTTAATAAAATGTCATTCAGAGTGAATTCGCCACCTTTTTCAATATCTAGATGTGTAAAAAAAAAATCAAAAATTTTGATAGAAAAAATGTTTTGGTCACCTTAGAAAAGACACCTACCAATTAAACCGATGTTCCATAGTCTGTAAAAGAAACCCGAGAAGGCAAAGATTTCATGCTGATTCTCTGTGTGAGGCTTCGTTCGAATCGAATTCAATGTTACTTTTTTGACCACGTCCATACATGCATCGAAGTCAATTGTGGATTTTCCATTGGATTTACCACTATAAAAGAAAATTTGTTAAACATTTTACCAAAAAAATGTGTTTTTTCATACTTTATTGTGAACGATTTGGTGTGGTAGTTGAATGGAGTTGACCTGACGCTTGGGTGTACACAAACACTATTCAAATTTGTAGCTTCATTCGGTGCACCATATTTGAATACAGCATATCGAAGAGTTTCCGCTCCAAGATCCGAATAACAAGTGGAAAATACATCGATTTTATCATTTGGTATCGACACGGTGTACATATGGTCGGATAATATTGGCAATTGGCTGGAAATGAATGAAACCGCGTTTTCTTCGTTCAAAAATAAATTGCATCGTAGACTCACCTCTTGAGTTTATCTTTTACGGTGAACGTAACTTGTGCACTGGCGCCACCCATATCCAGAGCGGCCACCGTTTTTTTGCTGCCCAAACGATCTGAAATACACACGTAATTGTTAGGTGTAAACATCAGAATTTGTGTAAAAAACTTGAAAATATGTTTTGTCCAACAAATGAACTGCTCACTTAGTAAAAAGTTAATGGTGAACCATGAAAAAATGCCTTCGTCAACGCCACTCAAGATTTCAGCCGCATTTTCGCCAATGTAGAAGCCAGATCTTGAAAATATCTTTCGAACTTCCTCCAATATTGTTTCGGCTTGATCCGATGGAAGATTTCTCATGCCACCAGTTCCACGCAGTATTAATGGTGTTGTTGACAAATTTTCTGCGGGAATATTTTTTTTCACCAGTTCAAGTAGTTTTTGAATTTGTTTTCCACCCTATTTTCAAGCAGAGAATTTATCAAATACACTCGCGTAATTGCCGTCTTGACTAACCTCTGTTGGATTTTTACAGAATGAACTCAGACCGGGTTGAACTTTTTTATAAGATTCTCCATTATTTATTACTAATCGTCTGCTCGGGTATATCATATAGAATTTGTATGTAACCGCTTTGCTGCTCGTCGAACCGGCGTCAATTACAACGGCATACTGCAAACCTAGCGGAATACAATTTTAAATTATGAATTGTGAAGAAAAAAACGAAAAGATGAACGAGTATTTTTACCTATGGAAATTCCTGCACAATGTTGCATCTATTTTATCGATAATTCATAGTTTAATTTGTAATTTATTAAATTTGATGTGTTAAATTTGAAATAAGAATGAATAGACTTACATAAGATCCAATCACTAATGTGACAAACAATAAAAAGAAGAATTTCATTTTCTTTGCTCTACTCAAACGTGTGTTTGCACGACTGTTGTAAATGATTACATTATTAATAAGAGGCAGTATTATTTATGCCAATTTTAATTCAGATACATTATAATTTGATGACGTAAAACTCGATAGAATGTGGAAAGTTAATGAGTTACGAAGAATAGATATCTTTTACGTCAATTTGATAGAGAACATTTTTGTTATTTTGCGCTGTTGTTATGGGAGAACAATTGTAGAACGACTTTTTTTTCTGCATACACCTAGTGTGTGTATTTCTAGGTGTATTGAAAGACTTAAATACACCCCAAAAACATGAATTCATGGATGTTTTTGAGGTCAGACAGCCAGAGTCACGTCTTTTTGTACATAGTTTTTCTGGGTCTATTACACATGCCTTTAATTTCACCCATTTTGACTCACTCTTCACGCATTGTGACTCCATATTGCACAATTTACTGTCGTTATCAACGACCTTTATTATTTTAAGCATACATGGGCACAGGGGGGGTGTAAGCCCGAAAAACCCCCCTCTTATATCGTGAGTAGAAAATGACTCATTTGTGATCTCATTTTGTCCAAAGCTATATGAAAATGTGTATAATTATTAAACTAGTCAGAAAATGCAATTTTTAGAACATCTTGCTGTATGCCAAAAGTAATTATTTTATTGTATTTTCTTCACTAACTTCATAAAATCCAAGTTCAAAACTGAAATTGATTTTCGTTAAAATCATTACATCAATTTTATCCTCTTTCAGACGAAACTCTTCCAAATTTCGATTGTTTCATGTCAATTGATTCCCGTTTCCGTGTTTGTCCCTTTTTGTAGCCCTAGATGAAAAATTATGTACAAAAAAAATTAGTTCTATTTTCAAGTCGATCAATATCGAACAGAGATTAAACTGTGGATAGAAATATATTAGTGCATATTTGCCATCAAATAGAAATATGCGATATTCGCAATATATCTCGTGAGATGTATATGTGCGTCAGTTACGAAAACACGAAAAAGAATGCGAAGCAAGACACGAAGAAACACAGGTACCTATTCTTTATTTGATTTGGATGGTCGTGTATATTTTAAATCAAATTAAATGATTTAATTGATTTGAATTTTATGTCAAATCGTCTCATATTGAGGTTAGGTGTCTTTTGTGTGTTCAGGGATCATGGTTTCAATTCTTTATTTTTTAGGTTTCTTGAAAATATTTTGCTTTAATCGGGTACGAGCAAGAATCCGGTCGAGCATTTTTTGTCTCTTGTGGCCTTTGGTGAAAGCAGATTTCAATAAACTTACCCATGGATTGCTAAGGAATTTTTGGTGCACGTCTACAAATATTGATGAACTTCATCACTCACCTTTGGATTTGAAATGAACGTTCGATATGCCGAAATTTTAACGAAAATTTCTGGCAAGCCTTTGAAGTCATACCTATTTACGCAATGATTTAATTTGAATTAAAATTTAATTTAATTTCGAATAATTCTAAAAGAAATTATCGTACGAAGTAAGACCGAGTAATTTTGGAGGATCATCACTTGTAATAAGAGGACCTGGAAATTGTTTGTACATTTAACGGTTTAATATTATTACAAAACAATAAAAATAAATTCAAAGTTATCTCCTTGCCACCACTGTCGCCTCGGTTTGTGTTGTTTATTGTCCTATTACGTAAATCTACACAAATTTGTGTGTTTTCATCTACCCATCGTTTCATTTTATGATTCCAGTATGAATTATGACTTTTGTACGCCAATTAATCATCAATAGATATGAAAAAAGTAAAAAGCTCAAATTTTTCATATGAATGAAATTTCGGGTTTGCTATAGTTACCATGTACGAAAATCTGTAATTGTTGATTCAACGTAGCGCAAATTACTGCGTGTAGTTGTCCGATTAGGTCCAATACCTTCCGTAAAACTGGCAACCAGAATTATTTTATTTAGAATAACGAAATAATTTTTTTTGCTTTTTTCTAATTTACCCCAGCATTTTGACTGTATCACCAGCTTTTGCTGCGTAATAATCGGTAACCATTTTAATTTGATTTATCTTCGAATTAAATACCAATGGTTTATTAAGTTGAATAACGGCTGATAGAAAAGTTTATAAAAAATGCATGAATCATAATGAGTTCCAAATAACTATACTCATCTTATATTCAACAGTATCGATATACTAATTCAAACGTAAGTATTACCTATATCATTACTCAAAAGCACACCACCGCTGTATTCTGGATGAATAGTTACTTCTTTTTCAGTAATTTCCACCGTTTCCAATGGCGCAAATACATTTATTGTACCGAAAATTAATCTAAATGCAGTTCGATTGTGAACGCAGTGGGCTAATTTTGAAATAGATTTAAGAAAAATATTGGATTAAGACAATTATTAGGTTAAATAATAAGAATTTTATCTAACCTACGGTCAAAATTTTCCAAGGAGACACAATCACTCCCGCACAACAGAATTTACTTTCATCTTCACTTTTATAATATTTTAGTTCAACCATATAATTATGGTCTTCGATTCGATCGACCAAATTACCCTCAATAATTTGAGGATACACTACATAATATTCCATATTCAGACAGGAATAAATTATGACACATGTGTAAAATAAAATCATTTTCTTTCAACAGGTTAGTTTCAAAACAATATTAATTTCGATCTTATTTGGAACGATACATCAAAGAGAATCAAAAATATGTCAAAGATGCTGTCTGTTCGACCTTTTATTGATCCATTTTGAAACATTGAAATTACGCAATTATTGATTTGTTTAATATTCAGGCATGCCAATGAATATTCACGGTTCTAATACTCACGTCGATAATATTTATATTTATACAGGTGATATCTGTAAACTTCAACACACAAATATTGTGAAGATATAAAATGTTAATTACGTTATGGCCCAAATATGTTGGAACTTAAAGGCAGCTGCTAGCAAATTATCAAAAAATCATTGAGACAAGACTGACTAATCCGCAGAAATGCTAATGTTCTTGGTAATCGTTGTTTTCTTAACATATTTCACGTCAACCTTAGACTTCTTATGAAGTTTAAGGAAATGGTAAACGAAGAAATGTTTCAACGTTTGTTATTTTGTGATGAGGGGAATAGATTCCAAAAGCTTGAATCTGGAGACCATAAGAAATGTTTTTCCAAGTGGACTATTATATCAAAAAAAAAAAAAAAAAAAATGCACCACCCTAAACAGTAGATGAGGAATAAATTGTCATAATAATGAAATTCTGGACTGAATTAAAATAATTTTTATTTATTTTTTATTGCATGATTCATAAAAAATTGTGTCCAAGGCATAACCAAGACCTCATCAAAACCTAAGCTACTTGGCTCAGCAACAAATCCCGCCTAAATTGGCAGGGTACGTTCTCATGTGAGCAAACGAAACACTTCGCTCAATTTACATGTTCAAAAGTCACGGTGGAATTAGCCAAATTACCCAAGGAAGACCTCCGGATGGTAATTGGTTTACTTACCGGGCACGCCAGGATCAATTCTCATATGAGAAATCTAAATCTCAGAGACGACCCGGACTGTAGACTGTGTGGTGGAGAAGGGGAAACCACTGCCCACCTCATAGATAGATGTCCAATGTTGGATACCATACGGGCTGACTTCACGGGCTGGAGATCCTACCCTTTGATTCATGCACCGAGTGTATTCAAATTGGTAACGTTTTTCAAACGGGCATGCGATGACAATCCATGCCTTAGAAACATTTTTGGATAAAACACTATTCTCGTGTATTCAATACACACACGGGCGTCTTGCAATAAGTTATGAAACTTGAGCAACGAGTAACTATATTAAAATTTTACTGTTTAAATAGGACACTCCCCGTTTTAATCCAATAATCCAATAATTCAAAACCTAAATCTTTTCACAAATCATAATAGAAAAACTAGATATTATTTTTGTTGAACATCCATGCTTTGATCTTTATCAATCGTTTTTGCTTTTGAATGATTCTTAAAAATAACGTTGGCTATTGTTGTCATCGGCGCTTCAAAGGCTAAGTTTGCTATGATTGACATCATGAGACTTATCACAAAGGTGATAAAGAAATTATAAAACTGTAAAAAGAAGGAAAATAGATCGAGAAATGAAAAAAAGTTTATATTATCATCAAATTAAAATATTTGAATACGACAAAACGAACCACAATCATTTCGCTGAAGGGAACTGAAGTTTTCATCCAAAATATACGATATATGACGACAAAGTGTATCAAATAAATGGAAAAAGAAAGTTTTGAAATGGGCTTCCAAAACGGATGAGCCAAAAACCAATTGACAAAACCACCATAATTATGAACGCAAGCAAAAATGATATAGCACAACGAAATTGACCAAATAATTCGACTGCCGCCCAAATACAACCCATATTCAATTGGTTTCAAATCAACTCGTTCAAAATTCAGAGATTGAATATGTGATATAACTATCATTGAAGCAAAGGACAATGTCCACGCAAATATGTTGAGCATCTATTAAAAGAGACATTTTTATGGTATCGAAAATTTATTTGCATATGCAAAATTACGTACCTTAGGTATGTTTACATTTTTGTTTCTTGTTTTGAGTAGAACATATCCAGCAATGACACCAATCAACCACGGTGTGCATCGAAGATGTGTATAGTTATATAGTATGAATCTATGAACAGTAGGAGTCCTGTGTACACAACAGATGATTATTAAAATTGTAGGAGAATTTAAATTGAAGAAGCCATAAAATAGTCACACCTGTATTCGGCCACAGTAATTGCCATACAAACCAAAATGGGCACCAATAAAGTATAAATGGCCTTTGTTTTGAATCGATATATGAAATAAATGATTGGCGGTGTAATTAGAAAGAGCTGCATATCGACAGCTAAATACCAGGATGGTATATTACACTAAAAAGTAAACGAAAACAAAATAACTTGCGAACAAGATTGCTTGCGAATATACCATTTTGAAGGCAACACATACCACTCGAAATGGATTCATATAATTCTGTGCGTATATTAGATTTGTCCACCAGAACTGTTCGCAATCTATACTAAATTTGCGATAAACACTAGACCAAAGCGGACCACTTCCGGTAAATCGAAATGGGGAGATAATTACCAAAATGGTCACACCCAAAAGTGGCGTGAGTCGAATGTAGCGATGAAAATACAGTAGTGGCACATTTATTCGACCACTTCTTGAAACGAAAAAAATCAAATTCGCCATTAATAATTTAAGTTAAAAGCATGTTTTTGTTTGTACTTTTTGAATTTTTTTAGTATTCCAATTGATAGTAATAGTCCGCTTAAAACAAAAAATGTGTCGACTGCTTGGAGTCCAATGTAAAAAATTAAGTTGAAGTATTCTGTTTTATTCTGTAAATAAACAAATTAAATTTGAATTGACAAAAAGGGCAGACATTATATTGAGATGATATCAGCTCAGGCAGCTAACGTCAGGCGCTGATATGGTGCGACAACGATAGAAGTGATTGTTCTATTGTTTTCACTCCATTGCTGAAATGTCAGCGCCTGACGTTAGCTGAAAATATCTCAATATAATATAATAGTTGAGGTCGAATGGATTGTTACATGGAAAATTGTATTGTAGTTTTGTCTTGGAACTTCTGAATAGATAAAATTCTGATGAAATAGGACGACACATATTGCTGATATAGCCCGAATACCATCTATGCATCTAATCGTATCAGTTGAATTCGGTTCTTGAACTGAGAACAAGTTTTTGCCATTCGTATAAAATGAAAACGCCAAAAATAATTGTGATTTTTCGCCTACAAAATTTATAATAGCTTAAATGATTAGATAGACTGATTTTTTACACACTCACGCCTATTAAGAGTGCACGACACATCATAAAATGTACTCGCCAGCACCAAGCATAAAACAGTTCCTAAAAATATACTTGACAGTGTGGAAATAAAATATTAATTTATAAATCACAAAGTTTTGTCACAGGTGTGAATAAATGTCTGTCAAAATAAAAAGTTACCGAAAATCTTTCTACTACATTATAACCGGCATAGAATGAAAATTGAAGTTGACATAGAGAGGAGGGCAAAATATCACCCCAGGGGGTGAAAAACATCAAAAAGTCACATTTTGGAAAAGTGCCATTTTCGGACAAATTTTCCAATAGAACGACAAAACTGAATATGCCATCCACACCCTTGGATGTCTGCTGGACATTGTCCAGGAACCTTCGATATGAGGTTTTAGCGATTTTACCTCCTTGTAACAAAACGTCACGTTATTTAAATTTTTAACCACTAATTTTTTTCAAATGCGATTTTCAGGTATAAGGAGGCAAAAGCATCCCACCCAAATCCCAAACCTAGGGTTTCTCGACACGATGTAGAATATTTTAAATATACGAACATATTCCGAACAGTCGAACGTGTTCGGTGTTCGAACATTACGAAGGAATATGGCGAACGTTCTTCAAATTTAGTTTTCAGAAATGTTCGAAAATTAAATTTCATAACTTACATTGCAATCAAATCAATGGTTTTGAATTCAGAAGGAATCTCTTCCGTTTGGCAAGTGTCTTCAAACAATTTTATTGATGCGTTGATTTGTTTTTGTTGAATTAAATAATTGAGAATTGGTTCGATTCCTCGCAATGAACACATCCGTGGCAAACAAAGTCCAAAGTTAATGGCGACACCTTTGGCTGGCCTAAGCGAGTCACAATTTTTAGTTTATTGCAGAAATTCATTTTACTTTGGATACTCACTGTGGTAAGAGAAATTCTGGTTTTAGGGTTCCATCCTTAATCGGATCCGACAAATTGATTATTCGATCGAATTCCTGCTCGATGACGAGTTGCCCCATACAATATTGAGTTCTTTCGACTTTTTCATGTCGTTTGATATTAAAACATTGAGAAAATTTACCAAATTCATACGAATACACACTGGATACGGTTGATGGGAGTTTTGCCCATGTATCGATAACTGAATTCATTGAATAAATGCTTAATACTTTCTTATCACACGAACTCTATTAGGACAAAACCCAAACTTACGTTCCAAAGACCAATCTGAAGAATTCTGCAAACCATTTTTGATTTCATCCATTTCATTTGCGCAGATAGCATTTAGAGTAGGGTTGGTTATAGTTGAAAAATTATAAGAATTTTGTAAAAATAAATCGCTTTTAATTTGCTCAAAATCAAGTGAAATTGATTCAATTTGAATTGAGTCTGGTTTGGCATCGTTGAAATTGATGCAAAAAGCAATCCACACCAAATACAAACGTTTTATAAAGTCACGAGTTATTTTACTCATTTTTTTTATATTCGAGCGATAGCAGTGATCTACTCCAATTGACAACTAACAAATAAAAACTTCATTTACTCAAATTGAGTGACTTAAAAACTTTTAATTCCTTTAGTTATCTCAAATTATGAACGAGATTATCAACTAATGACTTTATGATACCCTTCATCTCTGCTATCTACGCAATTTCAATTTCAATATACTTTACTGAGTTAGACACAATTTAGTTAGATGGTTTATCTAGTTTATCGTTTATATTATTATATTAAACATTTGAAAGTCGTCGATTTAAAATATGAATCTACGATATGTCTCAAAAATGTCGGATTTTAAAACTGTTTAATTGCGATAAATTACCACATTGCCCCATACACCTAAAAATTCAGCTTAAAATGTTGCAATTGGTGAATACCGTTTTGAGTTAAAGGTCACGCAATTAATTAATGTGGCCGATTAATAGACTATTGACTAGGGTGCTTCATTTTTGTGAATTTTGCCGAATCATATCGCCACTTAGCATAACCGATACAAAATAATCATAACTTTTCCACGTCTTTTTTTTTACTACATGGAAATTTCAGTTTTCTCATATTCATGTCACCAAAATCACCTCGGAGAATACATGTATCTCAAATTTGATGATACCATCCTATTCTACGTTCAAATACCTTTCTAATGGTGTATCACTAGTCACCCCCCGTTTCCATTTGACCGGTTCCACTGTGAGGGACTTTTTCATGGACAAAATCAACATATCGATTCTACTCATAAATATATTTCCAACGGAGTATCAAACACCATAATTTGTTTTCATTTCATTGGAATTATTCTGGCCTTACTTTTAAAGAAAAAATCCTTAATTTTCAAATTTTTACAAGTTCTGAAGTAAAAGCAGATACTTTTGACGAGCTAGAAAAGCATTTAAAAGACGGGCACCTATTGAGTAAGCCACAAAATCCAAATAGTAGCGCAAATAAACAACAAAACAAATATGAATTGCGTTCTCATAAAGACCGTTGTTTGGAAATTGATATAATAACTCTTGGCCAAAAACGAATTTTAGAAAATTTTTGTATGGACCACAGAGGTAAATCAGAAAAGTTGCATAAAATTATTACATCCATATTCGCGCTATGTACGGACTTGTCATATTGTTACTGCACTGAATCATTGCTATCACGTACTCACTGAGTGGTTCATTAATTTTTTTATGAAAAATACACAGGAATGATCAAAACATACACTTTATTTTTATTAATTCATAAAAAATCTGAACTATACCATGTTTATTGACTAATTAAATAATAAAAACAATAATTAATATTTGACATGAATCTACGCAGTAAATATGAAGATTTATCTGATTTTATTACATTGATAGAGTTACCATGCGAAGGAATTGGCCGAATCGGCACAAAAGTTCGCGTGTCGTACATTACTCATTTCTTACTGCATCCATTGTGTATTCAAAAGACATGTCAATAAAAAATTTGCTATTTTTAGTTTTAATCTACATTTTAATTGAAATCACGCGCGTTCAATTAAACTTTTAAACTAGACAAATTTACATTTTTTTTTTATAAATGTGTGAATCTCATTTTCTTGCCAAACTACACAATCTCCGAAAATTTGAAGAAATTTCAATGCATATATTAAAAGTCTTTATCACTATTCAAACAAAACCTAAAATATCAGGACACTAAAAACACCCCAAAAAGAGTAAAGTAATGCATCGAAATTTTGCGACAATCTGTAAGTTTTTCACCTTTTTCATACTTCAGGAATGTTCGACATAGAATGACGCAAGCTGAGTAAACACAATAGATAGTGGTTAATTTGTAAACAAATTTGTATCCAAAGTTCGTCAAAACAGCTTTTAAACATGTCTAGTCGCCAATATGTGGCGCTATGTAAGTTTTTTTTCACTACGTTTTGTCGTCAAAATACACTGCAAGTAGACTGCTTAAATTCAATGCAACATTTTTGAAATCGGATCAAGTTTATGTGACACACATTACCGCGTTTCTTTGACCTTATTATGATTTTTGCATAAAATATTCAATAAATCCCAACTTTGTTTCGTGAAATATGATATCCGAATGTTTTGCTATTGCATGTTATTTATCAACACCAACCACATACGTCCGCATAAGTTTGTTTGGAATTGTGTTTCATTAAACCAATTGTGATTCGTCTCTCGTTCAATCAATACCAACAAGCACTTGCATTCAAAATGAAAATTCGTTTAGTTTTCGTGGTTTTCTTCATTTCGTTCATCGATCACTTCATTTGCGCAATAAAATATCAGAACATTGGTGATTGTTACTATGACAATGGCAGCTACGCCGAAAGTAATCTAACTCTGATTTGTGAAGAAAACATTCGTGAAACGACGTTATTCAAGCAATACGATAAAAGTGTTTGCCAAAATCAAATTGAGTGCTTCAATTCCGATTGCAGTGAGGGTTTTTACAAGTTTATGATCGGAACCATACGATTTGAAGACTGTGAATTATCGCAAATTCCGAGTAATATATTCAAAGTGTACGAAAATGTGCGCGTATTTAATATGGCCAATCTTGGTACGCAGACATTCACGTCCGACTTTTTTTCCGATGCAAAACGTCTTAGCAACTTAAATGCATCTTACAATCAAATCAGCGAAATACCGTCGAATTCATTTGTGAATTGTGAAAAGTTGACCGATGTGGATGTGTCCTTCAATAAAATTACACATTTTGATGCGCATGCCTTTGCCGTTGGAAATCACCTCCAGAGCTTGAATTTATCGCACAACAACATCACCGAATTAAGTGTTGAAACATTCCAAAAGTTGACCGAACTGAAGCAACTAAACTTGGCATACAATCAAATTGCTGAATTGCCATCGTTTTTATTTCACAAAAATGAAAAATTGACCGATGTTAACATGTCACACAATAAAATCCATAAAATCGACGATTTTGCATTTGCCGGCGATTTTAAATTGAAAAAATTAAATCTATCGCACAATAAATTGACAACGTTCCAAAAACGATTCTCGGACAATCATTCCAATTTGACGCATTTGGACGTTTCGAACAACCGAATAGCTGCGATTAAAGTGGACACATTTGAAAGTCTGCGAGATTTGGCTTTCCTTGATTTATCGGAAAATTTACTGAAAATTTTGGACAATAAAACGTTTGAAAACCAAAGAAATCTTCGGCAACTGAATTTATCGCGAAATCATTTAACCGAAATCACAGCAGGAACGTTCGCATCGTTGATAACACTAGAGATTTTGGATTTATCGAATAACGCATTGAAAATATTGAACGCGATCATTCTGCCCATACAAGCGAATCAACTGGAATTGATTCTCATCGCGAATAATAAATTGCATGAACTGATTGACTTTACGAGTGCACGCATTCCAAATACAAAAATTATCGGCATTGACAGCAATCCATTCAATTGCACGTACTTGGATGCATTGTTTCAATCGATCACTTGGAAACATTTGGACTCGATTTCAAAGAGAATCGCATGCAATTCAGCCACCGAAAATAATGAACCCATCGATTTGAGCGAAAATGTAACATTCACATGGGCCCTGGAAACAACGACCACAAGTGATCTTGTGACCATTCCGGTTGTTGAAACGGCAACGGAGAAACCCGACGAACGTATTATGGCTAACGAACAAAATGGAAACAACATCAAAATCGCAAATCTCTGGAAATCTCAAATGAAGAATGAACGCGCTATGAAATCGTTAAGGAAGTATTTCTACATTTTTATGTGCATTGTTACGGTCGGATTTACAGTTATTGCATACTGCTTTATGCGCATGTTTGTTGAAATGCGATATATGTCGAGAGCTATCTTGAAACCGGAATATGATGTTAAGTACACCATTGAACCACCGAATGGAGTCGACAATCATGCTTATGAAACCATCGAAATTAGAAAAAGTACAGAGTCAGTTAAAACACCCATTTGATATTTATTTCGAATGAAAACCATGTAACTATTGTTAAATTTCATTGAAAATTCAATTATATGGAGTTTTATTATAAGAAATGTGTTTTTAATCCCAAAAACCAAGTTGACTGACAACCGCTTCGTTCTAAGCGAAACATTCAACTTCTTCTTTTATTCAAATTTTTCTTTCACCTGCTAAATGAGAATATGATGTGGTAAGATGTATTGAATGGGTAAGTATGAGTGAAGCTAAGCATTCTTTTTGTAAAGGTAAGAAGAGAAAGTGTGTATTTGAATCTTAATCAAGCTTGTTTTCTTGTTTTTTTTTTTTTTTAAGTGAAAAGTAAGTACTGTGACTGTGGGATGAAATTTGATCTATTTTTCTCCTTTTTTATCAATTTGGACTTTTATTGCATTGCTGTCTATAATCAAATTACCACAATGTTAAAACAACAAACTTGGAAATGAAAACTATATGTTCAATGTTCATTCACTCGATAGGGCGAATGTAAGTGCTGTTCTGCAATTGTAAACAGTTTTTGATGTTAATATACACCTCGAATCATGCATATGTGATAATTTATGATGAATTCATTCGTACTTGCACATTTATTCGCTTCTTTCTTCTTCATTTATGTCACTGAGAATAAAAATTACGAATGTTATGAATTGCGACTCGCTATCAGAAACTTCATAAGTTTATCGTTCATAAGAGCTCCCGCTCACGTAAATAAGAGCAGAAGATTAATTTCTTGAAGTCTTCTTTTCATTCTCTGCAAACATTTGAAATGAATTCATTATTTATTTTGAACATTTTTCCGAACTAATAATGCCGTTGAAAATGAGAGTTGACAAAATGTAAGATGTGATGTTATGTCAACTGATTAGTACCAAAAAATATTGATAGAGGATTTTGTATAGATATTTGACAGTGTTGCCATCATGCAATTTCAGCTAATGAGTGCTCTAAGTTGAATGCATTCAGTTGAAGAGTGCACTTCAAAACGTCTAGACATTTGTAAAAATGAGCAAAATGAAATCCACGGTGATTTACTTGATTTTATTTTTTTGTGCCTTCGGTTGTGTTGTTGATTCGAAAAAATATCAATTTATCAGTGATTGCCAGTATACATCATTAAGTGGACAATTAACATTCATTTGCAACGAAAATCTTTTAGAGGCGAATTTTTTTGAAAAAGAATACACATCATTAACGGGCAGCAACTTTTGCAGCTGGACATATTATGATAGAAGAAATGTTGGCTCAATAAATTTTGATAATTGTGAACTGTCCAAAATTGCCAGCAACTTTTTCGAAATTTATTTCAATGTATTCGAATTGGATATGTCAAACCTCGGCGTTGAGACATTGAAACCTGAAAGTTTTGAAAGTGGCACTGAATTGTTCAAATTAAATGCATCCCACAACAAAATCACTGAAATTCCCTTTTATCTCCTAAAAGAAACTGTTAATCTAACTATATTGGATTTATCAAACAATCAAATAAGCCGATTTGATCCAAATGCGTTCTCCCTTGGAAATAGTTTAAAATACCTGGTTCTTGAATCAAATAATATAAGTGAATTAAGTGCCGAAATGTTTTATAAATTAACCGAATTGGAATATGTTTATGTCAGTTACAATCAAATCACCAAAATACCGGCAAATTTGCTTGATTCGTGTAAAAAAATCATTTACTTCAACTGCTCATATAATGAAATCAATCAAATTGCTTTAAATATTTTCCCAGCGAACAATTTATTAAACATATTGGATCTGTCTCATAACAACATCAGTGAATTGCATGTCAGTATATTTCAAACGCTCACTAAATTGAAAGAATTACATTTATCTCACAACGAAATACGAGAAATCCCATCATTTTTCCTGCATAAAACGAAGAAACTAACCGATGTGAATTTGTCCTTCAACAAAATAGCAACGATTGATTATTTCGCTTTTTCTGGCACTACAGATGTGAGAAAATTAAATTTGACGCACAATCAACTTGCAACATTGAATCGGAAAATGATCGAAACACTTTCAAATCTAACGCACTTTGATATTTCATTTAATCGAATCACGGCACTGAAACCAAACACCATGAACATTTTGCAGCATTTAGTGTATTTCGATGTGACGGGCAATTCACTAAAAAAATTGGATAACAAAACATTTGCAGGTCTTGTGAAACTTGAGCAATTGTTTTTGTCCCATTGTAACTTATCGGTGATAGTTCCGGGCACATTTTCGCCTTTGGTGAATTTAAAACGATTGGATGTGTCGTACAATCAGTTGAAGACATTGGATTCGAATTGTTTACCATCAAGTCTTGACCACATGAAAATTATTGGCATTGACACCAACAAATTCAATTGTTCATTTTATGAAAAAAATTTCGAAATGACTTGAACATTTAGACAACATCTCCATTCGAATCAATTGCAGTTCGGAAAATGAAGAAACAGATCACACCGAAGCGGTCACCATTGG